CTGTCATGGTGGAAATGGGAATTGCCTCAGGCCAGCGAGTGAAACGATCAATGCAGGTCAAGAGGTAGGAATTGCCATTTGAAAGGGGTAAAGGAACAACGAGATCGATGTGAACATGGGAAAATCTGGCGGTGAGAATCTCAAAGTTTGAGAGGGGTGCACAGGTGTGACGTTGAACTTTGCAACGTTGACATTGTAGACATGATCTGGTCCACTCTCGTACATCGCGGTTGATGCTGGGCCAAACATATCGTTCAGTGATCAGGCGTTGTGTTGCCTTGATGCCTGGGTGGGAAAGGTTGGGGAGGGAGTCGAAAATGGTGCGGCGAAAGGCCTTGGGAACAAAAGGTCGAGGTTTACCGGTGGAGATGTCGCAGGTAATATGGTTCTTGGAGGTGGGTATAGGGTGATCTCGCAATTTCATTGTGGAGGACAAAGAATCATTTCAAATCTTGTTGAGTTCTTCGTCGTGGTGTTGAGCACAGACCATGGCGTCAAAATCGATAGTTGACGAAGGAGTTAAGGTGGCGATACGTGACAAGGCATCGGCAACTGGGTTGGCGTTCCCACTAACATGACGGAGATCGGTTGTAAATTGGGAAATGAAGTCCAAGTGGCGAATTTCTCGAGGTGAATGACGGTTGAGGGAATTGTGTAAGGCATAGATCAACGGTTTGTGGTCGGTCAAAACAGAGAACTGGCGTGCTTCAAGGTGGTGGCGGAAGTGGCGGATAGAAAGGTACACTGCGAGGAGCTAGTTCGCGTCCGAAGGTGTTTGGAAAAGAACCCGAGTGGTTGCCACACGTTGTTGACTCGTTGTTGTAGAACGGCACCAACTGCAACATCGGAGGCATCGGTCATGAGGCACAGCTCAGCATCGGATTTTGGGTGTGAAAGTAGAGTGAAATCAGCAAGGGCGTTCTTGATCTTCTGAAAAGCAGAGGTAGCTGGTTTGGACCATTGGAGTGGGGTATTATTTGTCCTCTTGGTGGAGCCTGTTGAAGCGAGCATGTCAGTAAGAGGCTGAAGGATGTGAGAACATTGGGGGATGAACCGGCGGTAGAATCCCAATCATCTACTCGTAAATATAGGGCAAGTTTATTCAGTGTTGCTACGTCTTAAAACGACGAAGTCTCCTGGCCCAGACGGTATCCCAAATAGGATTCTGAAAACCTTTGCTTTTGAATTTGCCCCTGTCATAATGGACATTTACAATACATCAGTGCTTCAGGGAGTCTTCCCTGATCAGCTAAAACGTTCTATCGTCGTTCCCATTCCAAACGTGTCACCACCTCAGACTATTGAGGATGATTTAAGACCTATATCACTCACAGCTCAGGTATCTAAAGTGATGGAAGGATTTATGCTACAGTCCCCCATGTCGGAAGTGGGTCATAAATTGGACGCAAAGCAATTTGCTCTTCCGGGAAAGTCAACCACTCAGACACTCGTTTATCTCCTCCACGTGATTCATGCTGCTTTAGATCAAGGCCACTGCTCTGTAACAATCTTTTTGGCTGATTTCAAAAAAGGTTTTGATCTCGTCGACGTTTCTTTGTTGAAACCGTAACAAGTTAACTTCTTTAGTAAAATGTTATGATCAATGGTATCAAAAGCCTTTTTTAAATCAACGAATAAGACAGCATTTATTATACCCACTGTCCATGTTAGTGTGCCATTTATCAGTGACATCAAGCATAGCTGTTAACGTTGAGTGAAGAGGTCTAAATCCTGACTGTATGTCAGATAAAAGGTTGTTTTTGTTTAAAAAGGCATATGCTTGGTCAAAGACAACTTTTTCAAAATTTTTTGAAACTACTGGAAGGACTGAAATAGGCCTATAATTATTCAAATATAGTTTTGAATCATGTTTATAAATTGCTAATACCCTGGTACACTTCCAGTCAGCGGGAATAATTTCCTTGCGAATTACTAGATTAATAATGTGAGTAAGTGAATTAAACCACAGTAGTGAAATTAATTAGTTTTAATATACGAACAGGAATGTTATCAATTATCGATAATTTATAAATTAGTCCACCTATTTGAGATGGAGTAACTTCATGTAATTCAAAAACTTCATTACATTGTGGAATGTTATAAGAGGCCGCACCAGTTGCTGGAATTTGCGATGCTAATTTAGGTCCGATTTCAGTGAAGTGCTTATTAAAAACATTGCTAATAGTTACTGGGTCAGTAATTTCGATTTCATCTTGCAAGATTTTTGGTATAGTAGTTGAAGTTTTAGATTTTGAAAGAAGACTGTTGATACCATTCCAAGATTCTTTAGTTCGACCTACGTTGAGTTGAAACAAAGAATTATAATATTGCTTTTTACTATCTCTAATTTTATAGTTAACTACTAGATTTTTAGCTGTTTTAAAATTGACCCAATCATTTTCATCATTAGTATAAACTGTTTTACGCTTTAATCGATCTCGTTCCCATATTAATTTCTTGATTTCTACAGAGAGCCATGGTGCACAATTTTTCCTTATTCTTCTTTGTTTGACTGGAGCATGCTTATCAGCAACATCAAGAAATAGTTTTTTCCAAATTTGCCAAGCATTTATAGGATCATCTAAGGAAACTATGTACTGCCAAGGAATAGCATCAATGTCATGCTTGAATGAAGTTTCATCAAAATTTTTATAACAGATGTGGGATTTGATAGTTATAGGCTTCTAGCAATTACCAACATCTCTCCCAGCTATTGAACTCGGTGATTCATCATTTGTATGGTTATTGTTATCAACTACAATGGGCGGATCTTCTTGTTTAAAGCGAGCTTCATGGGCTTGATGAAAATCCGTATATAAGATCTTCAACGTAGTAGTTAAGTGAGAGTTAAAGCCCGAGTACCGAGGCTGCATGTTAGCTAACAGCCGAGGTTCGAGGGCTTTAACTGACTTATTTCATGATTGTTGTTCAGTGTAATTTGTGAAGGAAAATTCTGGGAGGTATGCGGACTTATTGTTGAACTAAATTAGCGTACAGATAGGTACAAAAAGAGATGAAGATCTCAAAGGAACTTTACGCTAGTTATACGCTAGTTAATTTATTCTTATTTTGTTCTTCTACATATATTTTTGTAAAAGTTTCTGGCCTCACTTTGACGAATTGTTTGCATTCGCACTTCACAAAATGGATAGTGACGAGCAAGATTTTTCACTGTCAGGATTAACCCAAAATACATTTTTATGAACGAATTAAGTATAATGTCAAGTATTTTAGCGACTGAAAATCTTGATTTTGGTAACAGCGAGTCTACAAGTGCAAATACTAGTCATGCCGAGTCAACAAATGCAAGAAATATATCACTTATTAGCGACGAAGAGTTACAGAAAATGAAGGAAACCCGAATCCCGTTAAACACGAAGCATAATACAGCATGGGCAGTTCGTGTGTGGAAAGAGTGGGCGGACGAAACGAATAGTAAAGCACCAGCCAACGAGAAAGTCGAGCCGAATATTTGTAAAGTCAGTGATGTAGAACTTATGCATTGGTTAGCGAAATTTGTTGTCGAAGTTCGGAAGAAAGCAACCAAAGGGGAATGCTATCCGCCTAATACGCTGTATCAGTTGTGTTGTGCTTTGCTACGATATCTAAGAAATAATGGTTGTCCAGCTTTAAGTTTCTTCGAGGACCCTAATTTTAAACATTTTCAGGACTCGATTGATGCAGAAATGAAGCGCCTAACAGGGCAGGGTGTTGGTGCAAACGTTAAGCAAGCTCAAGCCTTTTCTGAAGCTGATGAGGATAAACTCTGGACTTCTAAGCTCCTAGACGATCATACAGCAAGTGTGTTATTAAACACAATGGTGTTTCTAATAGGAAAAAACTTTGCACTTCGAAGTTGTAGAGAGCACCGTCTTCTAAAATTCAGTCAGTTGACACTGGAGCCGGCATGTGGCACGGAACCTGAGAAATTGGTGTACGTTTCTTTCGGGGAGAAAAACAATTTAGGAGGATTAAAGCAAAGCAATATGAAGCGAAAGCGCGTGGAACATTCATATAAATGAAGAGTGTCCCAGTCGATGTTTGGTTCGATTGTACAAGAAATATGTGGGGAAATGCAGCTCAGAAGCCATAGCGAAAGACATATTTTATTTGAGTCCTCGCCGAAAGTATTCTGATTCAGATAAAGGTACAAACAAGTTATTTAGTTAGTTTTATCGTTTATTGTAGTTAATTTCCATTTTTAGCTTCAGCTGAATTTTCTGTGTTTTAGTTTGGTTCACTTCAAATCCAGTGGGCTACAACACACTTGGAGGGGTAGTTAAGTAGCTTTGTCGGGATGCTGGAATAGAAGGCAACTTTACAAATCACAGTCTTAGAGCAACAATGGCAACTCGTGGTCTCTTAAAGGGAATTCCAGATAAGTTAATTATGGAAAAAACAGGTCATAGAGACGTAAGGTCGTTACAGCAATATCAGAGACCTAGCATAGAGTACACTGAAGTAGAAATGTCAAAAGCGTTTGATCAAGTTGGTTGGTATGATGCCCACGTCTTTGGCGACAACCAGTACAACTAATAGCGAGTGTCGGGAAGTCCGTGAAAAAGCTGAGGAGGAATTAGGAAGCGAAGTTAACAAGAACGAAGGTGATAGCGCAGTAAAGAGTGAGAATGTTGAAAAGTGTGTGAATTTCAATAATTGCACGTTTTTTATTAACAAGAAATTTAAAATGTAGACAGAAGAAGTAAATGGATATATTGTAGTGGAGTGTAATGAGTGTTTGAGAAGTGTAATGAAAAGTTTGAAATATATTTTCAATACGTTTGTGTGAAATAGTATTAGAAATGTAAATCGAAGTGGTTGTATATTTCTGGGCTGTATCTGAATACAGCCCACTTATTCATAATTATCTATTCAATTCAATTCATCAGCCCCGCTCTTCCCTGCTGAATATCAAAACCCTCCCCGTGCTTTTAGATGTTGGCCTAATGACCGATATTTATGTTATAAATACAGCCCGCGGATCTTCAAAGAAAACCGACTCAATTATGAAATAAGCTAGCTTTTTCATGTTCGAGATCTTTAACTTTCGTATTCAAATCAGATAAAGCAAATTTGGCCGTATATAGGCTATCCTTTAAGGCTTCGTTCTCTACTTTAAGACTTGCGTTCTCTTGTCTTAATATATTCATACATTCATTGTTTAAGCAGTATTTTTTTAGATTGTTTAAATCATTAGCAATACTTAGCGTTTTGTCCAAAAATTTTGACTCCAGGGTTTTAAGTTGATTCTCGATGCTAGCAAAATTATCTTCATAGGACTTGTCATCATTATTAGATCGTACAGAATATTCGGTTTGGTTTGCGGTAGGTGCGGCAAGATCAACACTCGGTTTTTCTTTACCGTTATTAGTCGGCAGGGTCTGATGAATTTCAACAATGGCGGCTTGGTTTTCTTCGGCTTTCTTGCACAATGATTGAAGTGTCTGAGATAGTTCACTTACCTCAGTCGAACTTCCAGATAACGTTATCCATTTGTTGGTCTTACCATGCCATTTTAGGACTAGTGTATCACTAGTAAATGTTTTAACTTCGCCACCAGGTGATAACCATCTTCCGGTAAGTTTTAAATCGCATGACACAAAAACCTTTAAATCAGTTATTGTGCTGTCCCAGTAGAACTTTTCACCATTAAACTTTAGGTGAGAACAGAGATCTACTTCCATGATATTTCATTAAGTGAGGAAATCGCGGAGCTCAAAAATGCACGTCTACACTAGTTTTTAATTATATATCACTTGTTTTTATACATCTCGGTAAATTATTCCATGTTTTAGCGCTATTATTGCTAAATATAAGTCTTAAATATAGAAATCGTGCAGACGTTGAAACTTCTGAGAGTGATATAATATCATCGGACCTAATTGATTACATCTGGACCAAAGCAAGTAAACATCACTACGCTCTATAGGATCCTCGAACGATCTAGTGCTCTTACTTAACAAATTTTACGACCGACGCGACATTACCCACGACGTCACGCACGACATTCACCCACGACGCGCGATTTTTTTACCCACGACAAACAACATAAAGGCCCACTCATGCACTAGCTTATATATATATGGTGGTTGTAGTCTCGTGACTTTACAAATACACAAATATGATAACGTTTTTCTATAACTTATTTTTCAAGAGAATACGATATCAAACCGATGGAGAAATAAATACATGACAGGCAACAAGAAATGAGGCAGAAACCATTATAGGAGGTTTTTTAGTGCGAACATAATTTACCGCCGTTACTAAAGACTTTCCATTCATGAAATATAATTCTTGTGTGAATGTTATTTACTTCTTCTAGTTAATATTTAACGAAACACCTCATTAATATATCTTCCTTTCGTTTCCCCCCCAGCTCGAATTCCAATGTTTTGAGACTCTCGGGAGAACAAACCTGTTTCCCTCAGGAGCGCTACGTAAATTAATTGTATATATTTTGCAGCTTGCTATACTGTATAATATGTCTAGGCTAGTTTATGAACAGTAACGTTCGTATTGTTCACATTGTCATTTCTATCAATTCCCCCCTTAAGCCTCGTTACCGATGACTTAATAATATAAGGGACTTTTATTTTATCTGATATAACTGTTTGATTTCGTTAACGTGTCACCTACAACGTGATAACGCCTGTAAAGCAGATATCTCAATGCTATGAGAGGGACTATATCCAAGTCTAAGTGCCTTCCGGAAGGGTATATTGGAAGATTTGTTTTGAAACCTATCTATATTATGTCAGCTAGACCGTAGACAATAGCTAGCGGCTATAAAGTGTTCACATCTTTTTCCTGCTGAGAATTATGTTTAATATAATTTCTGTCATTCGCTAAATGGGGAAATAATTCTAGGTTAGGTGAAAAACGCGGACATGCGGACACTGATATGCTGACGTACGGATATGCGGACAAAGCTTTTTCGCTGGAAAGGAAGTACAGCTGTCACAATGTTTCACAATATGAATAATCAAATTAAATTGATATTTCCTGTCATAGGTTTGATCATATTAATTACCCAAAAAATGTACATGTAGGTTTCTTTATCAAAACGTCATCATAAGCGAAGTGAACGGTATAACTGACTGCATAATTGATAATTTCAAGGTCGAGTACCATGTTTGAAGTTCAGTTAAAAACCTAGCCTTACATTCAGAATTCGCATAATTCTCTAGCTAGGGCGTCGGAATTTAATTAGCTGGCCATAATTTTAACGATTATATCATTATATTGCGCTCAAAAGTTGAGCGTTAGGGACAGAGTTATCAGGGCGGAACGCTGGAGTTTTTCACTATGGGAGCAGTAAAGCCACAATGCTGAAAAAAGTCCCAAATATCCAAAGAATAACTAAATAATGACATTCTAAAAATCGTAAATATAGTTTTCTCTGGGGGGCAGTTACCCCCCCCCTCCATCCGCTGTGTACGCCCTGAGAATTATGTTTTGGGTTAAAAACTACGAAAATATATTCGTGTTTTAGAACACAAATTTAGACACGAATATACTTTTCTTTGTTCTTGAGCAAACACAACCCAGCGGCCTTGAGAGCGTAATTAACATATATAAAGATACGACCACTCAACCCTGGTAAAACGGTTTATTGTTATCAATATTCGATTCAACCATATCAAATATAATTCAATCATGTCAACCATAATATGTCACGTGCAGTGGCTTTAAACCTGATAAAACACTCTTAATTAGTATTCTTTATATAAAGAATACTAATAAGGCAGTATATCTATTGAATTTAATTTGTAGTCGTGTTTGAAGCAGTTTAATTTAATAAACTCGCAGGTCGTGTTCTATTAGGTCTAAAGCCACTCACGCTGCGCGCTCGTGGCTTTAAACCTAATAAAACACTCCTGCTCGTTTATTAAACAGTACTTCAACTATATGTAGAAGAAATATTAGAAAATTAAAGTACTGATGAATATACTTAATGTTTCTACAAGTAAGTCGTTAAACTGATAGGATTATTGACAATGACTGAAAAGAGAACATTTTGAACATTTTTATTACTATTTAGCCAATATGCTATTTAAGATGCCATCGGATTAAATAACTGCCTGAAATCTGATACTTGAGACTGTCTGTTTATGTAGGGATGACTAAATAGGCGACAACAAAACTAAGTATATTATAAAAACAATGCACGATATTGCTGTCATTACTTACCTTCAGTTTTCGTAAATTGAAAGCAATACGAAAGAATTGCACAAAAGTTGATAAACACCTTCAGCGCCATCATCTTTGTATATATGCAGATATAAAGATATACATCCTCGTACCCAGGGTTATGTGAGAAAACATCCAGCATACTAAAGCCAATCAACGACAATTACCGTGACGTCACGTAAGTCAAATGTTTTTAAAAGTGCTTTGTTGATCCAAGATGGGCGAGTACTAAAGAGTACTCAAAGCAAATATGAGTATAAGATATGCATGTGGCATGTTTTTATTATTCTTCGGTCACTTCAATGGAAATGATACATCTAAGCAACAATATTTTCAATTTTTGTATTCCTGAAATTGGTGAATGTGCAAACAGATGAACAAAATTGGTACTTTGCCATTTTTGTTATAACAAGTACGTGCACTTGTTCAAACGTTAGCATGCGAGATTTTGAACAAGTGTACTTGTCTATAGAAAAGATTGGCAAGTGCCTATATACAGACAAACAAATAAACCTTGTCATTTGAAAACTTGTCATAGAAAACTTGAGCATCGGTAACCAACTTAATGCTATTTTGAGAAAGGAATGGAAAGCTTGACATAACATTTGCAGTTCATGCATGCAGTTATTCTATAAAATATATATGGCATGATTCGCCAAGTATTTCATATACATGCAATATGACAGTTGCTTGACGTCATATGTCATGCTTATGGGCTTAGGACAGCAATGTATAGGCGCTATATAAGTACCATCAGTATCACTATTTGGCTTTGCTTAAACTTCCTATATTATCTCATTCGATACAGGAAGCACGTTAGCATTTTCAAGTGCTGCACCGAATATCCCTACATGATTTGATTTAGCTACTAAGCTACATATTAAGTTAAGAGTTTGCTCCCACAAATTCTATTATCATTCCATTAGTATCCTTATGGGCTTCCAAACTGACAAAATTACGAGCGTCCTATATTTGAGAAGAACTGTTGCAAATATAATGAAACTTATGAAAGTTGGCACACACACATTAATACAATATCAAACAAACACTACAGTATGTCGCGAGTTAAAAGTCGTGCGTAAAAGGTCGTGTGTCGTCAACGCACAAATTTTGCCCAAATTTTTCCCAAGCCCAAATTTTGCTAGCCCCTCAGTTAAAGACAAACATTATAGCATGTGCCGTTCGAAAATACCTGATAAAGTACTACGAATTAATTAGAAATTTAGTCGCGATGGAATACCGAAATTTTATCAGAATAAATTCAAATTCATCTTTTTAACCACGTTAATTAAAAAACTCATCAGGATTACAAACAATTACAAAGATACAGAACAAAAATTACAACAAATAAAATAACCTGCTTTCCATGAGTGCCGTGGAGACAAAACTTTATAGTTTATACACTCATATATAAAATAGCTACTGCAGCCAGTTTTAAATTGAGTGAGAGTGTCAGCCATTCTTAAATGAACAGGAAGGCTGTTCCACAGCATCACACCACTATAACCAAAGCTATTCTTTAGGTAGTTGGTACGGGGCGTATAGGAAAAGCTAGGTTTCCCTCAGTGTCTCTCAATGTGTATTTGGTTACGCTATACTAACACAGGACGAAAAGCGCACCTTTAATATGCTATTAAAGTAGGATTAATGGTGTATTTTATTCGTGTTTAGTCGCACTTAATGCGTTTTATTAAAGAGATTAAAGGTGCGTTTTAACACCTTTAGTTCGGTGCATTAAGTGTATTAACGACCACATTAATACCCAGAGATTAAAGTTCAATAAAGGATACTAAGTGTGCATTTAATTCAGCCGATTAAAGACCGATAAAATGCGGTTAAAGATGTATTTAGTCGCCTTTAATATTGGTAGAATTGTTGATTAAAGACAACTTTAATCATACAAAAATGTGTTGCTTATAGGTTATTAAAGGTAAATTTAATCAGTTGATTAAAGACCGCTTAAAGCGATATAAAGAATGAATTAATCACATTTCATACATTGATTAAACTTTGTGTAAGGGCCATTTTAGTTCTATTTAGTCGCTCTATTATATTTGCAATAAGTTGCATCGCTTGTGACGTTGGGCTTTTTATTGCGCTTTTTAAATTGAAAATCTCGAATTTGTGTCATATTTTCTGACAATACAGTATTATTCATGGATCATGATTACAAAAACCCGGTCTTGCTTGACTCAAGGTTCATGCTTCGGTAATTATTATAAGAACATGTAAAAATCAGAGTAATCATTTGTAATGATGAAATGCAACATTAACTCAAATATACAACACGCGTTCATCTTTAAAATAAATTTATTATAACATATACATATACATATACTACACCCGTTCATGAAAATGAAAATGAAAATGAAACTAAAATTATATATCGAACTGAAACATTTATAATAAGCCAAGACTAATCCTTTCTCGCATAGCGTTCTCACGTGCGATATTGTTATCCGTTTACAAGGAAATATAGAAAACACTATACGAA